AATTTGAAATCTACAAAATAAAATATTCACAACACACATAGCTAATAACGTCTATTTAAAATAGTAAATACATAGTCGTAATATACAAAATACATATACATGTAGGATTAGAACAAATTAAGATTTTACAAATCAAAATACAAATAATAAAAACATATTCGATTTAAAGGACCAAAATAGCAAAAAAAGAAACTTAAAGGACTAAAATAGCAAAAACAAAAATTTAAAGGACTAAAATAGAAAAAATAGAAACTTAAAGGACTAAAATAGCAAAAATAGAAACTTAAGGGATTAAAATAGCAAAAATAGAAACTTAAGGGACTAAAATAGCAAAAATAGAAACTTAAGGGACTAAAATAACAAAAATAAAAACTTAAAGGACTAAATAGCAAATAAAATAATCTAGAGTCAAGAACAAAATATTACACAGTACATATAAATGCAAATAACCCAAAAATAATATTAGGGACCAAAATAAAATGAACAGAAACATAAACGACCAAACAACAATTAAACCAAATGTCAAACAGTGACAAATGAAAAATACATAAATCACAGTGTCAAATTCGAATGTCAGCAAAAATACACAACACATGCTACCATTGACTAAAATGAAATAACTAAAAATATTGTGACCAAAATCAAACATTAATAAAAATGCAATACTCAACCAGATAAGGACTAAAATGATCTAACATGAAAATATATAACTTAATTATAAATAAAATAATAAACAATGGTTCGTGCTTAAATAAAGCCATAAAACATTGAAAGGTAAATACCGGATGAAAATACAACATAAACAACATAGGAGATCAAAACAGAAAATATTAAAAGTTTCGTTGATGATAAGAATATGAACATTACAAACCATGGAGGGCCTATATTGCAAATAACTCATGCGCTAAATTGCTTCATGGGTCCTCCATGAAACGACGTCGTTTCACACGCCATATATATGGCCAAGCCCAGGCTAAAATCACCCCATCTCCTCATTTGCTTCTCTTCCTTGTGCGTGAAAGAGAGAGAAAAAGAGAGAGCTCAAAAGAGCTCCCAGTTTCTGGCGAGACTCTGTCGCGTCAGTCGTCGCTGGCCGGTAACAACCACCGTTCGTCGGTGTCGGAGAAGAAAGAGAAAAGCACCACTTGAATCACTTTTTAGCCCTGAGTAAATATATGGGCCTCGTTTGGCTTGAAAATGACTCAAACGTCGTAGATCTAAGAAGAAACCTTTCGGTTTCTTCGACTCTGACGACCGTTCGAGGAGGAATCACTCAAAGGTAACATCTTTTCCTTTGTTTTCTCTACTATTTCGTTCTCTTTCTCTCTATCTTTTTCTTTTTCTTTTTCTTTTTCTTTTTCTTTTTCTTTTTCTTTCTTCTTCCTCTGATTTTTTTCTTCTCACCGAATCCCTTTTTTTCTTTCTCTTCTCTGTTTTCTATTTGTTGCCCTTTTGGTAATGGATTTGTCTAATGATAATACTGGAAAGATATCATTTCCCTTTTGATTTCCTCGGGATATCTGATTTGCTTTTGCTTTTTTTATTATTTTTCATTGCGCAGGTTTGTCGACGGCACCAAGAGTACATCTCAGCTTGAGCGGCTCGGCAGATGGGAAGTTGAAGAGTTGTTGGAGGAGGTAGCGGTGGTTGAGTTGTTGATATTTTAGGGTTTTCATGGGTCGGGTGGACTGTTGAGCCAGGTCTGGGTTCCAGTTGTTTGGATCTTGGTAGTAATTGGGTTCACTTGGTGGGCTGATGAATGGCTTGTAATAGTGGGCTTCAAGTAACCTCAATTGGGCCTACAAAAATATAATTAAAATTGTATTGATAAAATAATAATAATAATAATAATAATAATATTTTGTAGATTTAGACAAAAACGAATGTCTTCAATGTGTGGATATATATTTTTGCAACTCTAATTAATGCATCCATTAGAGGCTGCAATATTTTAAAAAGATATTTCTCTCGGTTTTCCCTTCTCTCAAGGTTCTTCATTTTTAAAAAGATATTTCCAACTATAAACCTACAAACCAGAAACTGAAAGCAATGGCCAACAACAGCCTTAACATTCATTTATTTTTATTTTATTTTTGAAAGACTTGGCATTCATTTTAGCTAAGATATTGAAGGCCACATTGTGTCAAATCTAGTGCGTCATTTTCATTTGTCCTATACTTCATTATCAGGGAGATATATGTAGAGAGAAAGAGGGAGTTTATCATAAAAGAAACTTGTGGCTGCCTTCTTCCTCCTTGGAACAAAATGGTGTAACGTTAAGCAATGGGTTCAATGGCGCAAAGTGTCTTAACGGCACTCACTGTAACAGTCAACCAATTCGCTTCCTCAAACGTGCATGCGGTTCATAGGAAACAACTGAGATCTCCATCCGCCACCTCTAAACCAAAAACAATTACGTCCGCCGCGGCAACCGTAACAGCAAGGAGAGGCCTCGTTTTATCCGCCGTGGCTTCCGCTCCCCAGCTCAGCGATTCCGGAACCCAGCTTCTCAAAAGTACTGTAATCCATATCTTGTAGTCTTTGCTTTTGGGAATGTTAAAAAAATGGAGTTAATGTGACGGGGTATTTGAAGAAATCAGAGGAAAACAAATCCAAGAGTGACAAGGAGGTAGGCCTCTGAATTCTGATAATTTTTTTAAAGTTAAGATTTGGTGAAGTAATCAGCGACGGATGCACTGATGGGGAAGAAACTGAACAATTGAGATAAAGTGGGATCACAATCAGTATTCTTTCTCTCATTATAACATCTGTCGATAATTATAGCTAACACAATGGCACTAAATATTTATTTTCTAGCAATACTAATCAACAAACATCAACCAATACAACCACGAAAGTAATAAAACGAGACACCGATTTTACGTGAAAAACCTATCCAAATCAAGAGTAAAAATCACAAGACTTTAGAGTCCAATCAAAAACTCCACTATCAACAAATGTTTAAATACAAGATTATAATATCCAACCTACAACGAGCTACAACTGCAACAAAGACTAATAAAAAATAGTTTTTAGCAAAAGAGAAAAATAGAGAACATTATCAAAAAATGTAAACTATGGGTATTTCTAAGGGTACAAGACTCGGATGAAAAATCCGATCGTACAAAGTCAAGAACACCCTGTCGTTTAGTTGCTGTCCAAAAATCAGCTTAATCGAATCACAGATAAATCTCTGATCAAAGAGTTAATCATTGTTTTTCTCCTTTATTTTCTCTCGAGTTAAAGTTTTTTTCAATTTTCAATATTATTTTTGTTGGGTGACCTTTTTACATACAAGAAAAAGATAACTTTTTCACCAAAAGTAAAAAATAAAAAAAAAGTGACATAATCTTTTTACAACAATCAATAATTTATTTTATGATTGTCATTTTAAGTTGTAATCTACTTTTACACAATATTTTAAGTTGCAACACATTTTCAACCACGTTTTAATTTGTACCACTTTTGTAAGCCGCTCCATATTTTAGGTTGCACCACATTTTAGATTGCAATTTTTTTTATGTTAATCCTTTTTTAAGGTGATGGATTCCCACATAGTGAGACACACACTCAACACGTATAAATTAAATTCAGAGTGTGAGAATTTAATAAGTTATATTAAAATATTTAGGGATTACAAAGATATAAAATCATAAGGAGTACAAAATTAAATGATCAATAAAAAATATAAAGAAAAAATTTAAAATATAAGAGAATTTAAAAATTTTAAGTGTACGAGTACCCTCGGTCCATCCCTGTGATGTAATGAATGTGAAAGGTGGTGGGGTTTAGAAGTTGGAGAACTATTACAATGATTACTTTAAATTCGTGGAAGGGACATTGAAAGGGAAGGAGCAGCAGCAGCTGACTGAAGCAGAAAAGGGTGCCCTTGATTGGCTTAAAGCTAATAAATAATCAACAAGTTGATTCGATTCAACCCATCAATCTTTCAGTACGTGGTCTTACTGCAGAATGAATCTTGTGTGTAATAGATGATTGAATCCCATCATGATTGTATCAAACAACTAAGGGACAGCTTATAAATGAGGTTTATTTTGTTTATCATCTTTTGCTTATTTTATATTCAATTGCCTTCATTGATAATCTTTGAGATCATGTTCATAATTTGTCAATATTTGTTTAAATGAAAGGGATAAAGCTTGTACTTCAATTTTACTATATTTTTGTTCATTGGTTTTTGAGTTTTTTTTTATTACATTAGTCTCTCAATTTGTATTATGTAATATAAATTAGTATTTTTTTTTCTTAGGGTAAAGTACACAATGGTCCTACTAAAAAGTGTTGTTTTGTTGAGTCTCTTGATTATTAAAAGTTATAAAATGATCACTCGACTATTCATATCTTGAAACACATTCTTTTTTTGTTAAAAATGAGACTATAAGACGTTACTCATTGCTTGACTCAATTAATTGCTCGTTAAACTCATCAGAAATTTCACCTTGTTTTTTAAGTATACATAAAATGTAAAAAATTAGTAATTAGACTTTTTTTCTTAATAGATTAATTTTTTAAGGTAACTACTAAACAACTAAAAAAAATTAACAAATTAATCACAAACTTATCGAGTCAAGTTGGACATTGTTTGACTCAACTCATTAAGTTCTCGAATTTGAGTCAAATCAATCCAAATTGAGCGTTGACCGAGTCTTGACAAAATCAAATTCGAGCAACTCATGAACTATTCAACTCATTAGGTACCCAAGTATCGATGTTATTACAACATTGAGAATGTAAGTTCAAATGTGTTTATTCGTGTATTACTTTCCAATGAATGGATATAACAGAATGCGGCTAGTTTAGACATCATTGTATTAAAAATCAATCATATACATATACTATTTCAATGACAAGAAAATAACAGGAATACAATATGAATACATGGATCACCATATCTATTTTTCCTTGTGTTTGTGTAGACTACTAACAATAAAGAAATTAAAATGCAGGATTTCCCAGAAATGAAATACTTTCAGTGCTTACTAATATCACTGAATTTGAGCTTTTATTTCATGCATATGCCGGGAAAGAGAATAGATTAGATTAGAATGAAGGGAAGAACCTATTAAGATTAGCAGGCAAGGAATAGAATTCTTCAGTCCTTGTATCTGTACTGTAAGTCCTGAACTTTTCCCACCAATGCCGTCCACTATCTCTTCGAATCGAGCTATGCCCGTAACTGTGGGTGCTATCCAAAAAGAAAGCAATTATGATCGCCACTGTTGCTGGGGATGAAAATATTACTTGCATAACATTGTTGAACTGCAAAGCCATCAAGAAAAGTGAACATCATTTTGTTGGAATGGAATCATAGTGGAAAAAATCTGTTGTTGGAATGAAATCTAACACACTGACCCATGTAGAACCAGTGTTGACAGGGCCATGGCCGGAGACTAGTAGATACTGGTTGAAATATTGAGGTACCGAGAGACCCATGAAGAGAGAAAATCCCAGTATAAACTTAGTCCTAAAGCTGTTCAGGTTGCAAAACTGAAGGAGACCAAGTCCAGCTGAAGCTGCTCGAGCATGGTATCTCAACAATTAAGTCCACTCATAATATAGTTGGTGCTCAAACATAATCAATGCATATCGAAGAAACCAAGAGTGGACCTAGGGGGTGACTTGAGGTGGTCCTTCCCTCAAAAATTTCAATTTCTTATTTTAGATTTTTTTTTAGATTTTTTTATTGATAATCTATTTTTATCCCTAAACTGTTATAAATTTATCATACCCTAGATTTTTACAAGTTCACATCCCTTGAAGAATCCTCTTATTCCTTTTTTTTCCCTGATAAAGTTGAAGTACTCCAAACAAAAACTACCTTTTTTAACAAAAATCCAAGAATACTTGAACTCTTTTTTAAAGTCTTCATTTTCCTTAAATCACTCTTACCTAATATATGTACCTATGCATATTTGGATATGAATATGGGAATGTGACCTTTCAAAGATCATTCAAATTCATGAAAAAACTCAACATACCTGTGTTGGACAAATATTCTTATCCAACACTCACAACCAAGTTTAGGGATTGACTGAGGAGATTGTCGGACATTCGGTTGCACCTAGTAAATTTTAAATCCCTACGTAGTTTAGGTATTTTTTTTTATATTTTATATTGATGATCTAATTTCACATCTCTGACATTTTGTAATTTCATATCCTTAAATTTCTAATATAATTTTTTAACTTCACACCCATAACATAATATCTTTCGTCGGTTCCTAACCGAGTTCAAGTAACATAATTTAAGTCAATGTGTTTACCTAGGAAATATGAAAGGGATACATGCTTTTTTTAAATAGTTATAAATGATGAAAGGGATACATACCAACATAGGCAAAGAGGACGCAGTACAGAGCAGCCATTATTGGTAATGGTATTGAAGCTAGAACAGCCCCGAATTTTCCTGCCCATAAATTATGACAATATCAGATCAATCTCCATGAAATAAGAAGACAATGACACTTTTAAGTCCTATTTTCAACTATTGGTCAAAGATTTACAAAAACCATCCTATTAATTCCTGTATTATGAATTAGTTGAAGATTTAATCACAGCATTCTAATTTTGGTACAAAAAAGATGTTAGAATATATAACTTGTTGAATCAAAATATGGATTACCCTACCTAATACAGAAAAGAAAAGCATAAATAAGGCCGAGATTTGAATGACTCTCCGACTTCCAACTCTGGTTAGTCCCAAAAGACCTGCATTTTCACTAAATTACAGCAAAATAGCATTAAAACAGATGATAACTGCTTTCCTTTTTTGTCTTGCTTGAATCAACCATCAATTACATTTTGCTGCTTGACCAGCTCTCAGTCCTTGACAAAGATTAAGGTGACAAGCACCGAACCATTAAGGACAAGAGAGCTAGCGAATCAACCATCAATTATTAAAACTAAGACATCAATTTATTGATATAAAGATATCATCATTAATTAACCCCTAGCAAATGTCATTATCAGAGAAGTTGAAAAGTTGATGCCAATTACACTGAAGCAGTGGAGCCACATCCAGTACCAAATAAACCATCTACCAAAAGGCCTACTCCCTGGAATTCAAAAGAAAATTGAAGGGGTGGTTAGATCTAGAACTAACAAACTGACACTAAGTTAGGAGATGGACAAGAGGTAAGGGCCTTTTTTTTATTTACCAGCCAGCCAGCACCACGGCTAAGAACAGAAGGTGGCATAGGAGTGGCACTTGCATATCTTGATGCTGCAATAAATGTACCTGTTGACTGCCAAAGATAATGATATATATAAAGAGGGATAATCTGCATAATGATTTATGATCTAGCTGATTTCTTTATGTATTTTCAAAGTTCAGAGTACATATCAGGACTAACATCCCAGAAGTCACACCTCGATGATAGCAACAAAAGAGGCAGCTATCACTGCAACAGCATCACCAGCGTTGAAACGTGGTCTGCCCCATTGAAATGGATATGGAAACCTTATCCTGCATGCATCGAACCAAAGAATTAGAAGGTGTCTGATTGGAATGAAAAATGCACCGAGGCACAGAGGCAAAATGACAAATTGCCAAATGCTAGTAATTGAGGGTAAACAATATAAAAGCATCCTCCCATCATATACTATACATGCTAATTGAATATACGTAAGTATTTATCCAACCTGAATTCAAGATTGCCATCATTAAGACCAGATCTGTGTAGTACTTTTGATATCTAAATATCATACATAAGCCAGGTGTATGACAGGAAATTGAAGAATACAAATTTGTAATAACAGTATTTTAACATGATCGTACAACTGAAATAAAGGGCATCGGAAGTTTGTGCAACCAATATGTCACAATTTAACTGATACGTAAAAGCTCACCAAGGTGCAGCGCTGATGAGCCCAGAACGATCAGTACGGCAACTGAACTGAGTTTGTGGTGCTCTGTTATCATAAGCACCAGCTGCTGTCAAAATTTCTGCATAAGCCCATATAATCGCAACTGAGAGAAGTACTGCAAAACGTTCAAATATTCCTCTCCTGGATTTGAGCCAATGGGGAACATACTGTAAAGGCATTGATCATAAACCTTATCAGTTGGGAACTTGGTAAATTAAAGTCATTACTATTTGCAACTGTGAGGGAAGAGAAACAAAGATTTAGGTAATGATTCAAGCCAAATGCAAAGGTGAAATCAAGCCCATCACATGATAGTTGCCGCTCTGATATTTGACACTTTCTTAATGTAATCATTCTATGGCTTTTTCCTAATTTTGTTTGTCAATAGAACAAAAGAAGAATTGCAATTAGAAAGTAATCTAAATATGCATTTTTTTACATCTGTTATCTACCCAAAGAGTGTAAATGATACATACATAATACAACTCAGCTTTAAAATTCAAAGTCTTACTCTTAATTGTAGATGGAAAGTACATGTTACATGTCCATGATAATGGGAAAGCAAAGAATGTTCTTAGTAAAAAAAGGGTTAAGAATGCAGATCACCTGAGATAAGAAAACAACTGCTACCAATGCTGGGAGTCCAATTTCGATGCATCTGGCCAACTGCATGCAACAAGGAGAACAAAAGAGAAATTACAGAATTAAAAAAGAATATATACAATATTTACATGTCAATAGAGCAAACAATATATCCACCACAAACACTCATGGATTGCTAGTGAAATTAAAAGAATAATAAAACCACAACGTATGCTAATCTAGAGGAATGGAGTCACTAAAAACATCTGGAAAACGTTTTACGATGTTTGGAAGATGTTGTTTAAACTTTTTTCTACTAGTTGATGAGTTTTTTTAAATTATTTATTACAAATACTAAATTCAATAAATAATATTATTTATCATAAAACTTAATATTATTATTTTTAAAATATTAAAAATAATTTATTTATTATTAAATATTATTTTTATAATTTTATTAATAAAAATATTAATATTGGTATATTTTATTAAAATAAAAATATTATAAATTATATTAATTATTTATTAAAGTAATAGTTCTATATTATATTTTAAAAATATTAATTAGTTTATTTTAAATATCTTTATTAAAATATTATTAGATTATTATATTAATATTAAATATATAAATAATAATATTCATTATTAATAATTTAATAATATTATTTCTATGAAATTAATAAATAATATAAATTTTATTAATAATTTATTATATATTATTAAAATAAAAATATAATATCTTATATTATTATAATATAATTGATTATTTTATTATAATATTAAAAATATAATATTATATTATGAAATATTAATAAATATATTTTAAATATTTTAATAATTAATATTTTGATTAAAATGATATTCAAATATTTTATTAATATTAAATTCATAAAATAAATTTATTTTAAGTATTTATTCTTTAAAGTGAAAAGTTCGGAAAATGACTTACCGAAAATCATATCGTAAGTCATTTTCCAGAAAACACAAAGGAAATTCTGTTGACTAGGAAAATGTTTTACGTTAACCAACCAGTTTTCCTCCAACCAAACACTGAAAAACATTTTTCGAAAAATGAATTACGTGAAACAAACACGGGATTTCGGGGGAAACCAATTCCGTAATTGGTTTCCCCCAAACAAACATACCCTTAGAAGAAGTTCAAATTACAGCTTATGAAAAATAATACTTGCAAAAGATAAAGCCTATATAAACACGGTTGTTTTATGTTTGAACCAAAAGCAAACTTCACAGAGAAACTCTGAGGTCTCTCAATCATTGATGAAGCTGAAAACATGTCTTAATATCTGGTTCATGGTAAGAAGTAACACAGTTATTAGTCAATGTAACATCAAATCGGCCTAGTTGCCTTAAAACAATTAGATGGTGTTCAAGATTTAAAATGACCAGAACTGTAGCTGCTTGAACACAACAATCTCTAAAGAGGAATGACAAAATGAAGAGTTTGGTGCTCTTACTTGTGGGAAACCTTGCGCATAGAGCCCAAGTCCTGTTAGAATCACCAGAGGAATAGCTGCAAGAGGGCTGATAAACCTGCATTGCAACATATCAAAAAATTCACTGGAACTGCAAAACAAATCAGAGAATTCAATTATGCATGTTTTGAACATCCTACCTCCCAATAATTCTCAAGAAACCAAAGAAACCAATAGCCATAGTGAAGAATGATGCCACAATAAGACTTCCTTGCACGTCTCTCATGGATGCTTTAAACCTCTAAAAGATCAAACAATTTTCACAAGAATGAAAACTAGCAAGGCATTATAATCATTAACCGTACGTCATTGACAGTAAAATAAGAGAAGATCCTAAATTGCAATAAAAAGAAATTAACCTGGCGGGGATCAATGATGACGTTATATCGTCTGGATAAAGCAATGGAAATGGAGGGGATGATGTAAGCATAAGAAGCCCCGATCACCACTGGCAGCCGGGTTCCAAACATCGTTTGCAATAGCGTGTTTATACCCGCTACGAATAGAATTGTGTTAATAACATCAGCTTTCTCCACCTATTTCTCATCAAACAAACAAAACGTTTAGCTCAAAGAGAAGGCAACAGAAGTAATTTAAAAAATAAAGGAAAAATTGCTTTCAATGAAAACCTGCGTTCTTACATTTCCACCTCCCATTAAAGGGACAAGTATAGATGATATGATGACAGTGGTCCCAAGCATTACCAAGTAATGCTGAAATCCTAGAAGTACTGCTTCAGCTGCAATTTAACCAGAAACAGTTGGCGATTTTTAAACAAAGAAGAAGAAAGATCAAGTCGAACATGTTAGAATTCCCTATGACTCTTTTAGGTTCAAATTAACAGAGCATAACGTGAGAGAGGTCATGAGTCATGAAGCAAATATTCTATGTTACTTGAAACACAAGAAAACGATAATCTCACTAGGGAAACAAAAAAGAAGGAATGAAACAAAATCATTCCATCATTTATTTTCTTAGCCTTTCACGTATTTATCGTGATTATCAATTAACGGATTTCCCTGAACATGTTTTTCTTCCCCTTTCTCTCCAACCAAACAAACCTGCAAGTTTGTTTATGGCACTTTGACAGCTTCATCCGGCATTTTTTCCCTTTTGTATATGAAACAACGTATAAAAACGGGAAGAAGAAGAAGAAGAAAATAACCACACTATTAAATAGTAAGGGAAAAGCCATAAAGACTAAGAGTGTGGATACAAGCGAGACAGCGGGAAAGAAAGACCAGAAAGGAGCGAAATCAACGGCGAGGATCCACTCGTGACACATAAATTATAACTTCGCAAATAACATTGAATAAAAGTGAATGAAAACAAAAACAGAGCAAATAAAAAAAGGGGAAAATAAGAATGATTGTTTAATGTATGAGGAAAAGAGAGAATGAACGTAGAAAGTAGAGTGGAAATGGAAACTTAATAGACAGAAACGAAGAAGAAATGGGGAGGTAAAGGTGGGCATACGCCATGAAGGAGCACTGGAGAGGCAGAAATCAACACCGGGGAGCTGGTCTTTGATAGGGAATGGCTGGAACTCATCGGACTTTCCACCACCAACACCACTACCTCCGCCGACAGCCATTGCTTATGCCTCGACTTTTAGTTGTTTTTGCTGAAAAGAAGTTTGTAATTATATAAGAGGAAGAGGAGCATCAGTGCATTGCATATCATAGACTAGAAGCAGAGGTTAGGGGGCGACGTTTTGACTGCAAACTTACTCATCCACTCTCTCTCCTAGTTCGAATCATATTTGAATTTAAGGTTAAAGATTTGATACAATTCGATCTAACATAATAATATAAATTAATATTTATATATTTATGGCTAATTACACTAGTATATATTTTAATTAAATTCTTATTTTACCTAATGAAAATGAATTAAATATAAATAGATAGATCGAGTCGGGTTGAATGTGAGTTGTAATCTAAAACTTTAGGCCGAATTTCTAATCAAATAAGACTTTCTAAATCTAAGTTGAATTAGATGCAGTTAAAAAACTCCGATTTTCAAATCATGGTTCAATGGGTCAAATACCTATATTCCAATCGATTAATCTGGGAAAGTTTAAGTATATGTTCAAAGATAATTTGACAGTAAAAGCTCACAACCCTGATATTCTTGATGCTTAAACTCGGGATTTCAAGAAAAAACAACAATTATTTCACCCCTAAGATTATTAGGTTCGTGGTTAAAACAAGAGAGGAAATCAATGAGTGGTTACCTTTACTAGGTATTCATACACATGGTAAAGCCATTTCTCTCTTCAAAGCTCTATTTTCTCTTATTGGCTGAGTTTCACTTTCACCTCATTAGTATTTATTCTTATTTTGACCCCAAAAAACACTCTTTTGGTCTTCGAATTGAAGTGTTTTAGAAGTTTACCCCAAATTCAAACCTAAGAATTATGTACTAATAGTTTTATTTTGGGCTTTATTAGGTAGGGAGGTGTGCCAACCTCTGTGTTTTCTTTCTTTTGTTGGGTTTTGGTAAACTACAAGGCTGATTTATTCCAACACTAATGAGAGATTAATTGTTCCAAATAAACCCAAGCTTTTTCTTGTTTTATACTCATCTAAAAAAGAACGGGTAAATTGAGTATTTACTCACTCGATTATTACGAGTTACTCTGTTTTGGTTATTCGATTCTTTATATTAAATTATCGCTAATATTATATTTTGATTTTATTTTGAACACTCGCCATTAAAAAATAGTAGAACTGCTAACATGTCGTTTTTTTTTTGTTTTTTTCAATGATGATGTAATATTACCTTATGATGACACGTCAGTATTATAAGTATTCAAAACCGAGTACCCGCATTTTCGGGTACCCGAAGTACACTCTAGGTAGCATATTTTTCGACCCTTGACCCGACCAGTTAAGTTTGGGTACCCGTAAAATCCGGGTACCTGTATTTTCGGGTCACAAATATCCTGTACATATTTTTTATTTTAATTTTTTTTAAATCTCATAGGAAATACATAAAAATTTAAAAGTTCGTAATATACAATTTATACACAAAAATTAGTGATTTGAAGTTAGTTTTAAGGATAAATATTTGGAGAAAACATTAAAAATATTAAAATCGATCGTGATTTTTTCTTTCAAATCCCATATTGACAAATTAATAAAAAAAATTGAAAAATTCAAAACTTAAAAGTACATAATACAAACCTAGAAAAATTAGGGATTTAAATTTAATTTTAAGATAAAATATGAAGGAACATAAAATAAAAATATAATTTGAACTATATATATATATATATATATATATATATATATATATATTAAAACTATCATGGCAGGTACCCGATTATAAAAAGAAATATTGACCCAGATCTGGCCCAACTACCCAGGAAAAATCACATGTCGGGTACTCGGCCCGATCGAATATTTTTTTCTAGGAAATTACCCGACTTTTTTAGGTTCAGGTCAGCAAGTCGACAGGCTGGTTCAATCGGGTCGTATATGTTTTAACACCCCTAGTCAGTATCACCATTAATTTATTAACGACATGTATGAGAGGTTGAGTAACTAAATACATAGTTTACTCAAAAAGAAATTAATAATAAAGTATGAGAGGTTGGGAGGTGAGAATAAATCATTTTTTGTTGAGAAGCAAATCCACTGCAAATTACATGACAAATAAGCCGGATTCAAAAAATATTTTCTAAAAGTAAATATTTATATTAATAATATAGTTTATTATAAGGTGTACATAAATAAAATAATTTTAGGTAAATTACGTATTTAGTATCTAAATTATTAGTTTTGGTCTGTTTTAATATTTAAACTTTCATTTTTTTCAAAAGCATATTTAACGTTTAGTTTTTGTTTCATTTTAGTACCTCGTCGTTAAAAACTTAATGACACTGCATTTTTTATAGGTAAATTACATCATTCGTCACTCAACTATCTTCTCACTCTTATTTTCATATTGAAATTTAAATTTTTTTAATTTAAATGCGCAGCTTTCAAATTGTTTTTATTCTAATCACTCTAATTTATTATGTTAATAAGTTTTTGTGACATGACTTTTTTTTTATTATTTTATTAATATATAATTTAAAATTAAAAAAAAATTGAAAATTAGAGTAATTAAATTAGGAGTAATTTGAAAGTTAAGTAATTAAATTTAAAAAAAATTAAACTTTAGTGACCAAAATTAGAGTGAGAAGATAGTTGAGTGATGAATAATATAATTTACCCATAAAAATACAATGTTGTTAACGTTTTAGTGATGAATTACTAAAATAAAATAAAAATTAAACGTTATCTATGATTTTAAAAAAATTAAATATTAAAATTTTAAAATACATCAGCATAATTTACCCAATAATTTTTAAGTAATTTTTCCACGTATCATGATAACCGTACCAGGCACCCCACGCACTGGTCAAAACTTGGTCAATAAAAATGTTGAATTTGACCGGTTCGATCAAAAAAATTGGTTCAAGACTATTATCAGATTATAGTGATTTGAACTTTTTGATCTGAATCAGTAATTTATGTGGTTTAACCTAATAAAGGTCAGGCGCGACCCTTAACCTGCGCTATATATAATTATAAAGGTCAGACGCGGCCTTTAATCTACGCTATATATAATTATAAAGGTCAGACGCGGTCCCTGACCTGCGCTATATCCTACGTGGCGTAAGGCGCGCACTAGGGGCCGCGCTATACACACGTGTATCCATGTCAGCATAAGGCATGTCTCAGGGGGCGCGCCTTACCCCACGTGGCGCTAAATCGGCGTATAGCGCGCTATAAGGGGCACACCTTACTGCAAAGGATGTTAGATCGAAAAATATAGTCTGATCGATGTTAGATCGATAAATATACCGATCACCGATAATATTTTTAGAAAAAACGCCTTTCAATAATACCACAAATGATCAAAACTTGTAAAGTTCATCAAAATTATCTTAACCAATCCAAACATAATATTATGTATAAAAACACAATCAAAATAAACATTTTAAAATTTATTTTGAAGAACTATAAGCATATTTTGATTTTAGAGTACATTATATCATTGACCACTCAACTATTTAGTTCTTTTACTTTTGCAATCGATCTTTTAATTTTGTCAACCAGACCATAAAACTATTTAATTATACTCAATCAAGTCACTCGACGTTAAAATTTAACATAAGTACTAACATGGCAGTTAATAAAATTAGTAAATTATATATTTAGTCCTCAATATTTGTACATTCTATCAATATTGTCCTTATTTTAATTTAATAAATTTAATCATTCAATTAAATTATGAGACATGTCACTATTTTATTGGAGATTTTTTATATTTCAAATTTTTTTTATTTTTTTCTCACTCAAATGATGTCATATTTCACCACAGGGTTGGGGAGCACGACTTACCAACTAAGCCAGCCAAAAGCGTTGGCTTTTAGTTTACACAATAGTGTATATATGTTAGTAACCAATCAGTTATACATTTGTATAATAGTAGGATAATATATATTTTTAATTTATACAAGATTAAAAGAAAGTTTAAATTTAAGATTTTTATATTTTTAAACTAAATTTAATTAAAATTTTATTAAAATATAAATTTATTTTAAATACTAATTTATATAATAAAAAAGTAAATGTGTAGGAAATATAATTGATTTGTGCATTCAAAACTCCATAAATTAAATTATTTATATTTTCCATAAATTTTATTTTTAAATTAAATTATTAATTAAATTAAAAACTAATTTAAAATTTTATATAATCATTAAATTAAAATTTTGAATAGAAAATAAATATTAAATTTAGATTAAGAATACATATCTTAAATTTAATTTTTTTAATCTTGTATAAATTAGTATTGAATATATATATATATATATATATAATATATCCTACTATTATATAAATGTAAAATTTACTTTGATGGTTAAGTATTTCCAAATTTTTTATTCAGCCTAGACCCGATGCTTCGAATGTCTTCATGTCAATTTTCCTTTTTTTTTTTCTAACATTAACTAAAATATAAGATATATATATATTATTGCGTAAACCATATACCAAAAAGATAAGGCTATCTCGGTCGGTAAGATGATGTCCCCAACCTCCACCCCACCCATGCTGGTTCAAATCCCCTTGACCCTTCTTTATATCTCTTTCTTTGTAATTAGTTTTAACTCGACTCAGATATTGGCACATGTCATATGAGTGAAAAAATAAATAAATTAAATAAATTTAAAATAAAAAACTTTCAATGAAATGTGTCAGATTTTGGTTAGATAATTAAATTTATTGAATTAAATAAAGATAAAGACAAAATTGACCCTTCTTTATATCTCTTTCTTTGTAATTAGTTTTAACTTGACTCATGGTGACACATGTCACCATATGAGTGGAATAAAAAAATAAATAAATTAAATAAATTTAAAATATAAAAAATCCAAGAAAATGGTGACATGTGTTAGATTTTGGTTAGATTATTATATTTATTGAATTAAATTAAAATAATGACAAAATTGATAGAATGTACAAATATTAAGGACCAAATATATAATTATATTAGTTATATTAACCCCACGCCGACACTTCTGTTAAATTTTAACGTCGGGTGGTT